CAAAGGAATAGTAAGACGGTCAGAATCTTCACCAATAACGCCGATAATTGGCGGTTCCGAACTAACTGTATTATTTAAGTTATACTGCAGAGTTCGGACAAAAGGATCAAGATTGGCATAATTTAAATTTCGGCTTGATAGCAGTTGAAAAATGTTAGACTTTCTGAAATGATATTCTAATGAAGCCATAGCAAGTTCTCGCGATTTACAGGAATCAATCAATGTCCAACCAACTTTAAGTCCAGGTAGTAATTTTGGATTTCTATTAACTAGTTCGTCGATCGCATAGATCATAGCTTGCATTAGTTGTAAATTTTTTAGTTTATACTGGCTGCAAAGCTTGGTTGTCTCGTTAAATTGTAAAGAATTTGGGAAAATACCAATTATTTGAACATTTCCAAATTTTTGGCTGTAAACTGGAGCTCTTTCATTTTTCAATGTCACGTTGCTGACTAGACTTAACAGGAAGGCGATATGTAAGAATGCTTTCTTCAATTTCGATGACATTAGCATGGTGTAATGAAAACCTTGTAGAGCTTGAGGTACTATTTCTAATCGATGATAGTTACAGATTTGAGTTTTCTCTGTTTAATTTCATAATAACCTTAAGAAATAAATAAGCTAGTTCGAAAAACAATGAATTATTGTTGTCTTTCCTCGGCAATTAAAAGATTTTTAATGATCTACAAAGAATAATTACTGTACCATGTTCAATATTAATATAATATCTGAACTTTTCGTTACCTTTGCTTTTGTATTAATATTTTATAACTTAAGATCTGATCTTGAAGGAAGTTTTACATCCAATAAAGAAATTCAGATATTTCAAATTTAAGATATCTTTAATGAAGCAGATGCTTTTAGCGTCATTTTCAATAAAGAATTCATGGGCTTTTAAAAATTAAAATATCATTATCGATATTCCTTATTAATCTTTATTTGATCTTGCAAGATAAAATTCTCTCTTTCAAAATAATCGATACTTATCTTGAATAATATCACGAAAACTCTAATCTAAGGTTTTCATTACAAAAATCGGTTATTTTAGAAGCTATCAAAAAATTACAGTTTAATATTGCAAATTTGTAATTGTTATGACGATTATAAATTGGATATCTATTGTGATAATGTTATTACATTTAATAGCGTTACTACTAATTAAATCCAATTCGTTACATTATTCCGAATTTCCTAAAAACGAGTACCAACGATTTGTAACCTAGAACTTCGTCATTACTGTCTGATAAGATATTGATATTAGAAATAGATCTGCTATTATTAGATTTATTTGTTTGAAGCTATCAATTTGTTGGCTTAAATATGAGTCTGACTCATTATCAGTTGGGGTAAAAGAAATCAAGATGTCCTGCTTCTACTCGATGTTCGTGGTGTACAAATATACATCCGTTATACCAAAGCGATATGCTGCAAGCAGGCTTGGCCCGAATGAAACTCTGATATAATACTCGATATTGATAATATGCATACAATATACAAAAACAACACATAATAAACGATTCTGCGGCCTGAATATAACTCTGATGCTCTACTAAATTTTGATACTATACTTATAATACAGTATACTACTAGAACAGATTCTAGAAAATTATGCCATTTTCCGTATTAATGAAAATCATTAATGCAGTATGATACAATGATAGATTGGAAAAATAGTATTAGTATCTCTTATTTCAAAACTTGTTTTAGAGTGATATATTATTCCTTGAATAAATTAATCTGATTAGCTAATTAAAAAAGGAAGCATTTGATTAATATCTCGATTCCAAATTTTAGTAAATTGCGGTCTCGTTGTTAACAGCGTTAAATATACAACGTTGTCAGATTTACAGTTCGTTAGGTATTGGCATATCACAATTGTATGAAGTTACTTTTATCTTCTTGATGTTGTCCATTATTACATCAATTTTTTCTACATTTTTAGCGCTATACCCGTGTTATTTGGCAACTCGATAGAATTGCTAGATATTGATATCTCAAATATTTCATATTTCATTTCAAAATCATTAATTGCTTGTAATTCTAAATTTATCTTTCTACGTTACTTTAAATATAACTAAAACAAAGGCAAAGACCGACAAATAATCTTAAATTAGAACCCAAACCAAAGCTTTTCCGTTAACTCTGTAGTTGATTGCAAAATAATATAACTTTGTGAGGTTGATAGATCAAGAATCTTCAAAACTTTAGAAAATTCAGATTTATTGAACATAACTTCGTTTACGAAGATGCAACGTAATCGATTAGCTGAGGACCTCTAACGAGAAAGAAATATCTTACTATGCTAAACTACTCGCTTATATACTTTTCCGCATTTACAGTCTTAGCACCTTACTTACTACACACTTCAGTATTATCATCTCAAATACAGAATAGTTTACACCTTTCATGCGAAGCTCTAGCGTGAGCACTGTAGCGCTGCTCTTCAAAAGGATTACAATTACTAAGCTAGCTATATGGATATGATATACCGATCACGAAATTCCCAATTTTAGAAAAACAAGGGCTTTATAGAATCTTATACAAAGATTAACTACACACAGCTCTATTCTAGCCGAATACTACTACTAAAGACTTCTACATAGAACTAACAGAATAATCTAAAGTTGCATGCTTTTATACTTTTCGTAGCATTCGCAGCTATAATCCGCATGGCAACCTTTTACCGCATTTTACACTTAGTAAATTATTCTTAGTAACACAATTCTACTGCGGACCATCATTAATCCGTTATGGATACGACTACAGTAATTATGTAGACATTATTCACACCAGCCAAAATACAATGAATTAACTATATTTTAATATATGATTTACAGTTCTATTTTTACCTATAACCTTATTAGTAACTCAACACCTTACTGTATATAGTCATCTATACTCTAGCATAGAATCTATACCACTACCGTCTATAGTTATAGATACCAAATATCTCTTAGGATAAATATAGAAGTTACGCTACCGTAAATTATACTAAACATGGCTAACAGTCTACAATACAATACTAAGTTACATTACAACTGAACACTTAAGCCTCTAACGAGAATATCTATCTCATGTTGAACACAACACCTACGGTAGACATTACTAAATATATCATCAACTTAGAATACAATATTATACTGTCTTACAAAATTCTACCTTATTTTATGATGTATAGCGTATTGTAGCTGATAATATGCTTTTTAGTATGCTACTATAATGCTAAATAAGATATTGCCTACTGCAATTGTAATTTACGACAGATTTATACAATTTGAATAATGCCTAGTCAGTTTGGATAATGCCTTACTAATTAGAAAAACGCAAAAATGAAGT